TAATTTATGTACCGCAAATTAGGAAACCTTTTAATCTGTTTGAATGTAACAAGGAAATTAAAAAAGGTTTCAATAACAAGACACAAAGCAAATGTCTGATTTGTCTCCAGACGCTTTAATTAGACACACAAATAAAAAGAAACTGTGATGTGCTGCCGGTGGCCTGAGGACAGCGAGGCGTTCTGTCAGGCAGGCTTCACTGGAGACTCTCTGACAGCTCACAATATTAACACAGGAGCTTAATTGCAGCCTTCAGGGAGAAGCAGCAGCAGCAGCAGGTTCCCCTTAAAGGATCCGACGGGCCTCAATCACAGCAGCAGCTCAGAGGTTCCTCGTCTCATCGTCTCATAGCAGGAGCCACATCAGACCAGGTGTAACCGTGTAGTCGTAAATTACAATCAGTCGGAGTTAAAGCGAAACAAGAGTTTTCAGTGTCCATGTACGTGAACACAGGGACCATAAGTCTGGTGTATCTGGAACATGCATCTGTACATCTATCATGAATATTATTTATTAAATATAAAAAATACATCTACCTGCTTTTATTTTTTATATATATTTGTGTTCATTTTAAATTGTATTTAAATGTATATGATTTTTTGTATTTATTATTTTGAATCTAAGTAATAAATATAAAATCTAGAATCTACTTATTTTTGTTGTTTTATGTTTTGTTTTAAATTTCATATGTATATAAAATATTAGTTTTTTGCAAGTATTATTTTAAATCTTAATAATATAAACTAAATATAGTTATTCTTATTATTTGTTTTTATTATGTTACATTTTATTTAAATGTATGTTTCATACATCATTAAATATTTTTGTAAACAATAAATAATATGATACTATAACAACTTGTTTTTTATTATTTAAAATTTTACTTGCACTTATAATAGATAATATTTATTTTTTATTATTTTGAATCTGAATAAATCTAAACATAAATCTAATTATTTTCATTTTAAATATGATTTTTAATATATGTAAAAACTATCGTTTGTATTTATTTTCAATTTAAATAATAATTACAAAATAAATCATTTTAGTTTTTATTGTTTCTTTATTATTTTGCATTTTATTTAAATATCTTATATATATAGCATTTAATTTATTATTTTAAATTTAACTAATTAAAGTAAAAATAAACCACTTGTCTATCATGTGACTGCTTTTATACGTCCCTCTTTGTGAGAACCAAACTGGATTTTAAAGACTACAATAGTGATGATCCACATAGAACAGAGTTCTAAAGTTACACAACGGTTGTTCAAATACGCCTCAGAATTATTATTTTTTAAATATGGGCATATTTTTCCATTTCTGAGCTCCACTTTGGGAAACTTGTCCTGTAGTTTTGAGTCATTTCTTAAGGAGCATAATAGACTCATGTGTGGGGATGGAGGGACGGTTCTGGTGGGAATGTTTCCTGCTTTGACATTTATTTAAAGGTCATCAGATGGACTTATGTGAGCAGGACTGGTGGATCATTGTGGAAACTGTTTGACGGCATCAAAACGATTCTTTTTCTTTGTGTTATATTGAGATTAAACTTCAAGACCAAAGTCACAGCTGGAGAACATGTCGAGTTCTAGGAACTAATGAAGAGTTTGTCTTCAAGCATTTCTTCCAGTAATTCGCAAAGTTTTCAGTATTTTCTGAGTTATATTTGAAACTCCAGAACTACTTGGATTCAAATAATATTTTACTTTCTGTGGCACAACTTGTCAAACCTGCTCAATTAGTTATAAAACTGAAGAAAAATTGCTTCCTTTTTCATTTATGTGACCAAATATTTCACATTAAAACGATTTGAGATGTTTAGTTCTGTGTTATTGTGACCTGCAGCTAAATATCACTGGTTGACCTCTGAATTATCTTTTAGTTTTGTTCAAAGTTTTCATGACAGCTCGATCAATTTTCATTTTCCAACTCACACCTCATGAGAGATTATTCGTCCAATATTGCAGATTCTGAATCAACATCATGATGAGAAATAACAGTGAAAAAATTCTGGTTTTTATCTTTAATATTTCCTGAGGTGTTGTCGCTCAAACAGCCTCAAATTTCAATGTGCGAAAAAACTATGAAACCTGCAGAAATAAATGAAATTATCCCGGAAAGTATTTTATAAATCAATGTAAAATTTCTCAGGTATCATTTTAAACATCGACAGCTTATGATAAAAAAAAAGACTCAAGTGAATGAGAGACGATGGAGCAGAAGTTAAACCAAATAAACATAGTGTACGTAGAAGAAAAACAACCAGGAGCTGAAATAATGAACCGAGTCTTAATCATCTGAAACATCAATGATGTTAAACCTGCAGCTTTTGTCTCCCCCCTCTGGCAGCGAGAGGAATTACACAAACACTGTGGACACGAGGTCATGATGTTGACCTCTGAGTTTCTCTTTTGTCATTTTATCATCGCTAGTTGATTTAAAACGCACACAAACGTCGCCACAGAGGGCTGATTGAAGCAGATTTTAGCTGCTGTGAATGAGACGACGGTTCATTTATGTGTGTTATTTATGTCATCAGTCCAGATCCTCATAGAAAAAGCTCATATGCACCAACTTCAATAGCAAATCCTCTCTTAACGTGAAAGTTTTCTGACCCTATATGCTAATATTTTTATGTATTCTTGCAATTTCTCTACAAAATAGTGCATTACTGTCCTCAAACGTGACCCACATGCTGTTTGTAATATCAGTGGAAGCCATCAGATCCTGTAATGTCCATCCATCCATTATCTATACACCGCTTAATCCTCATTAGGGTCGCGGGGGGGCTGGAGTCTATCCCAGCTGACTTAGGGCGAAGGCAGGGGCTATCGCAGGGCTACACTTAGAGACAGACAACCAAGCACACTCACATTCACACCTACAGACAATTTAGAATCACCAATTAACCTCAGTATGTTTTTGGACTGTGTGGGAGGAAGCTGGAGAACCCGGTGAGAACCCACGCTGCACGGGGAGAACATGCAAACTCCACGCAGAGATTCCGGTGCCCCCACCGGGACGCGAACCGGCAACCTTCTTGCTGCGAGGCAACAGTGCTACCAACTGCGCCACCTTGCAGCACCCTGTAATGTCAAAAACGCTCAAATCTCACTGATAAATTCTAATATTTTTATTGCTTTGAGTAGTTTTTCTTATTTAAGATGTGAGGTAGGTGTTTGCTGTGGCAGATTTCTGCAAAATTAGTTTGCAAAGTTTAGATTTGTGCTCATATTTAGATCAGATCCAACTTTACTGTCACTATACATGAACGAGTAGAAGGAAAACGAAATGCACTGAGCATATGACCACAGTATAGCTGCATATACTGTGATGCAAAAATCAAGAAAGAGGGGTCAAATTGCACCAATAGAAGAAAGAAATTAAGAGTTTTGTTTGACATTTAGGCATATTAGTGTCGCCAAAGTTTTTTTTTTTTTTGAGTCTCCGGCGGTTAATTAGATGTTTTAATTTTAACAAATTTAACAACCATCTACAGTAGAGATGCACGATGACATCAGCATCTTGATGAAGGTTGAAGTATCAGCATGATCAGTTTGGTGTGAAACTGTTGCATAAAACTACATATAACATATTTAACATAAAACTTTTTCTTATTTTGTTCTGCAGACGTGCACATTTCAAACACTTTTCTATATTTTCTGTCTGCAAGTGGACCATCATGATGACAGTAATAAGTTGATTCTGCTGCAGGTAAAAACCTCCTGTTCTCTAAATTAGGTGGAAAGATAAGTGTAAATATGAGCACCGGCAGACTGACAAAATGAGCTGCAACCGTCACATCAGAGATCAGGAACAACACGCTTCAATAATCCAAAGATAAATGATCCAAAATGTGTAAAAATCCACTGTGTTATTTATATTTCTACACATTTGCTCACAGAAAAGGCAGAATAAAAGAGATTTAAAGCTGTTCAGTTCTCCTGAAGTGGTTTTATTTCTCATTCGTTGGTCCTTTGCTGTGTGAACGATGTGACGTCTGTTTGAAAACCAACTAAAGCAACTTTTTCTCGGTTTGGATTTTTTTGTCATTGGTTGAAATCGAGCCACTTTTCCAAATATTTCCCTCAAAAGTCAAATTATCCCAAAATAGAACATTTAGAGCAATACTGATCACTTCTGTTGGATAATATTTCATATTTATCGTATTTTTAGACTCTGTCAGATGTCATTTTGAGCAGGATGATGGTGTTTAAACTGAACACCACTTTCAGAGGCCAGTTTGCAGGCCATGTTTTGCACATTTTAAGCTTTTAGTGGCTATATTTACACACTATTTGGCTGTTTTGTGACATATTTTAATGTTAGTTTTGGGCTCTGTGCTTTCTATGATCATCAAAATAGTTCTATTTGAAGGTTTTCCTGCTTTGAGGAACTTTTAGAGAAGTTTAATCGACAAATCAGCAGCACCAAACATATTTATTTTGCTGTGTAGATATAATTTTGATGCAAAGTATGACCTAATATTTAAACAGGATGTTGAATATTGGATAAGAGTGACTGTGAGAACAATTAAAACAATCTGTGTGTTGCATTTGGACATTTAATGCTCAGGCGGAGGCCCAGAAATCTGACATTTTCTCGCTTATTCCAGCTGCCTGAGTCACTCCTCTCTTGCCTGAGCGGGTGTAAATGATCCTCGGGGGTTAAATCTGAGCCCAGCAGGCGTCTGTTGAGTCTCTCCAGGAGGCTCTGACAGAGGAAACACTGAGGAACCGCTGACCCGCTCTGCAGACGGAGGTGCACCCAGGCCACGCCCCCTGCGCGTCGGTGTGCGCCTCCATTGGCTGCCGGCGCTCCTCCGCCGCCTGGATGTGGCCGCTGTCAAGACTTTATACTATTAAAACTCCTCAAACTGCTCCATCCTGCTGCACACTTGTTGCTGCTGCTGCCGCCGCCGCTGCTGCTTCTGCCTGCGCACCGGAGGACACCTGAGAACCGCTTCAGCATTTCCTTTGGGATTTCTTCGGGGAGTGATGAACTCCATCGACCCTCAGTCCCATCACCAGCAGCACCAGCACCAGCACCACCACACCTCCCCGACCGTCGGCTCGCTCCCACCCAAAGGCGCCCAGGAGGCCCCGGACATGGCCGCCGTCTACTGCGACAACTTCGGCAGCATGTACCACCAGCAGAGCTTCCAGGGCGCGCAGAGACCCGCCGGCTACGGCCTCGGCGATTACGCGTCGTCTCCAAACCCGTACCTGTGGCTCAACGGGCCGGGCGTCAACTCGTCCGCGTCCTACCTGCACGGGAACAACCCGGCGTCCTTCATCCCGCCCTCCTACGGCTCGCAGCGGCAGTTCATCACCAACTCACCTGGCTTCGGAGGGCCGGACCTGGGCTGGCTGTCCATCGCCAGCCAGGAGGAGCTGCTGAAGCTGGTGCGTCCGCCCTACTCGTACTCGGCGCTCATCGCCATGGCCATCCAGAACGCGCACGAGAAGAAGCTGACCCTGAGTCAGATCTACCAGTACGTGGCGGACAACTTCCCCTTTTACAAGAAGAGCAAAGCCGGCTGGCAGAACTCGATCCGGCACAACTTGTCTCTGAACGACTGCTTCAAGAAGGTGCCGAGGGACGAGGACGATCCAGGTACCTGAACGCACCACGCGCACCGGGCAGCAGCCGAGAAGATAACATGAGGCGTTTAGGGGCAGTTTGCTCACCTGTAGGGAGAATAAATTACACATTGACTTGTTGAGCATCAATTAAACTGATATTTTAACTGAAAATACTGAATTAAAACTTTACAGCAGGATGATTGTGAAGAGTTCATCCACTTAGTTTTAATACTTTATTATAGATTTCATAATCAGCTAAATGTGTGACAATCAACTCCCCAAAATAACCCTTTATGGTCGTCTTTACATTTGTTTTTCCAACCTTATAATTATCTGCAAATTATCAGATTTTTTTCTTTGCAAAATTACACATTTATTCCCCTCAAAAGCACGACTGTAATGTTTTATGAAAGAGCTCAGAAAGGTGACCTTAGAGGGAAAGTAATGTGGAAAATGCTCAAACCTCATGGATAAGTTCAAATAGTTTTTGTATTTAGACGTTTTTTCTTGTGTTTAAAGTTCGAGGCAGTGAGTTTGTGACTGATTTCTTCAAATTACTTCTCAAAGTTTTGATCTGTGGTCACATTCTGACAGGAAAAAGCTTGAAAAATGGATAAAATTGCACCAATAAAAGAAGGAAATTAAGAGTTTGTGCATTTTAGTTTCACCAAATTTGCTTCTTGAAGTTTTAATTGATAAAAGTTGATATATAATGTGTTTGTTTTTGGATTGCAGGTAAAGGAAACTACTGGACGCTGGACCCAAACTGTGAAAAGATGTTTGACAACGGGAATTTCCGCCGGAAAAGGAAAAGACGTTCGGATCCGAGCAGCGCCGGAGGAGCAGCGGCGGCGGCGGCGGCAGGGTCCACGAAGGTGGAGGACGGGCGGCCGCCGGTGACCCTGAAGCCCTCCGACAGCCCTCAGCTGCTGGGACCCTCCTCCCCGGAGATGGAGGCGATGACCGAGAGCCACAAAAGCTCCTCGTCTCCTCCAGGACTGGCCTCGTCCGCTCCCTGCTTTAACAACTTTTACAGCAACATGTCGTCGCTGGGCTCGGGGACCCCCGGCCGGCAGGGGTCCCTGGGCCTGGTGAACGAGCTGTCGAACAGGAACATAACGGCCCTCAGCCCCTACCACCCCAACCACGGCGGCGGGCAGGACTCGGGGCCGTCGGAGCACGGCGACGGCCTGCATTTCAACCGTGGAGTGTACTACAACACGTTTGGCGGCGGCCAGAGCGGACAGTTCAACAGCCACTTCTACAACAGCTTCAGCGTCAACAGCCTGATTTACCCGAGGGAAGGGACCGAGCTATAGGAGGCACTTCAACCACACCGCTCCAGGACTCGTTTTTTGTTTTTGCTCTGTGAACCCCCACTGAAAACAACATGTACATGCTTTTATCACAGCAGAGAGGTGAAAAACGCCTCCCATGCTCACCAACCAACCAGAGAGATTAGAAAAACTAAACATTTTTGCACAATTTGCATTCAAATTGTGGGAAAAAAAACACCCAGAGAATCACAAAAACAAGCACTTATCTTCTTCTTTTTACTACATCAAAGCCCAAACTTTGCTCTGAGTAGTAAAAGTTGATCATTTAACTCATTTACCATCATTTCTTTTCCTTAAAAACCACTCTGTCATGTCCAAAATATAAATATGCATTTAGCATTTTTGCCTGTTTTGCCAAATCCAGCCCGTAACGTCATTGCAGCTCAAGTATTTTTGCACAATTTGCATTCAAATTGTGGAAAAAACACCCCAAAAAATCACAAAAACAAGCACTTATCTTCTTTTTTTTTACTATATCAAAGCCCATACTTTGCTCTTTGTGGTAAAAGTGCATCACTGATCTTATATTGAACTATTTTTGTGCAGAATATAAATATGCATTCAGCATTTGTGCCTGTTTTGCCAAATCCAGCCCAAAGCAAAGTCTACATGCTGTCACTGCAGCTCACCGACATCAAGTGTTTTTCCTACAATTTGCATTCAAATTGTAGGAAAACCACAGAGAAAGTCACAAAAAACAAGCACTTATCTTTTTTAAAAAAAAACTTGTACCTGCTCTCAGTGCAAAAAGTGGAACCACTGGTTTTATATTTTCACTCAAAACCTCCAAAATATAAAGATGCATTTGATATTTTTGCCTTTTTTTTTGCCAAATCCAGCCCTTATTGTTTCTTCTTCATGAAGCTTCATCATCGACAAAACTCTGCCAAAGTTGCCTTTTTGTTTTTGTATTTTTTCGAGACCGCCATTACCTCAAAAACTACGATTAAATGAAAGTTCTGCCTGTGGACAAATGCAGTAATAATTGATTTAACTGAGAGAAAAACAAAAGCAAACAAACAAACGAACAGGGCTCGCCTTATTTTTTTACATCCTCCACGTCGACTGAAACACTACGGCTCGTGTAAATACATGTGGACTTGATTTAAAAAAAAAAAAAAAACAGTGTATTTTTGTAAATTATTAAAAATAAAAAAAGAAAGGATAGTTTGTGACTATTTATGCTATTTATGCTAATAGGCATTTTTTTTTCTACTGTTGTCCGAAACTAGTTTGATTTAAAGCAGAAGTTGAATATTAGCTTAAAAAAAATGCACCGAAAACAGTATCATTAAAACCCAGATGTCATAAATATAAATTTATATAAAGATATATATATATATATGTATTACATATATTAAAAGCTATATCCTATATCATGGTTTTTCTCAGGATTCAGTGTGACAATCATTGAATGGCTTTTGTATCTACTATTGTCTTTTATTTTTTATCTTTATACAGTACACACAGCTTCCAGCCAGTTTCAACTGTGATCATAAATAAATACTATGTGCTCTCTATTGTATTGTCCTGCATCCTTTACAGTCGGTATTTTTAGTTTTCTTCTGTCCACAAATGTATTTTTTTTACTGTATGTGTACATTTTCCCCTTTTTTCTTTGCACATCTGTGTAAAAAATGCGTCTCCGATTGTAGAAATTAAATGAAGAGACGTCTACAGGATGAGACTTAACTCGTTAATAAGATATCTGCCTGATCCCGGTTTAATTTCTGAGCGACAGAGATTTAAGATCGAGTTCACGTCCAACTAAAACAAAGTTAATCTGCCTGTCAGGTCGGTGATTAGTGTTTGACGGATGACGTTTGCTCTCGGGAGACGATTTTTGTTGCTCAGAAACACTTGCTTGGAGTCGTTTGCCTGTTGATTTATTTGGCTTGGAAACGGGGAAATGCCCACTTTTACTGGTCGAAATGCTTCATCTGTCACCACTGATGCACTAAAATCAAAGTTCAGCGAACTAAAATGACAGCAAAGGTCACGGTTTACAGGTCAGTCATTAGCTTTAAGAAGAGAAAAATGTAATTATATGGGAAATAAGGATGACTTTAGACTTTTAATAAGTGGATACCAGTGAATTATTTGCATTAGGGGGTTCAGATGAACTTGCAACATGTGAAATTTATCTACAGGAAAGCAAAGTTCCCTCATTAAATGACAGATAAATATCTGTGTGAGTTTAAAAGGAGCTTCTCTTTCAGGGGAATTCCCGTCGTCCCTGTAATTAAGATATCTGTTTTGTAAATGTTCTATTTTGGGATCAATGTTGAAGTTACACCCTTAAAAAAAAACTGTAGAACTTTCTCCTGCTCTCTGTTCTGCAAACAGTTTTATTCTCATGTCGTAGTTTTAAAAAACTTCTTCTGAATGAATGAAAACACAATTAGCATCGAAGGTAATTTCCTCCTGCAGTTTCACAAGACAGAGACGAGCCAAGAGACGCCTAACGACTAAGAAAGTTTGGAGTGAAGTCACAAAAACAAGCGCTTATCTTTTATTTTTTTAACCTACATCCTGCTCTCAGTAGTGAAAGTGTATCACTGATCATATATTCTAACTATCACCACTCTGTCATGTCCAACATCTAAACATGCATTTGATATTTTTGCTTGTTTTTGAAATAGCTGTTTTGCTGCTCTTTATTCTGCATGATGCAACAACTTCAAGCCATATTTTTGCAGCTTCTCCCCTAAATGAAAACACAATTAGCATCGCAGCTAATTTCCTCCTGCGTGTTCTGCACTTTTCAAGGCCAAGACGAGCCAAGAGAAGCTTAAAAAACTGGCGTGAAGTCACAAAACAAGCGCTCATCTTTTATTTCCTTAACCTACATCCTGCTCTCAGTGGTTAAACTGTATCACGGATCTTATATTTTAACTATTTTCCCTCAAAACAACTCTGTCATGTGCAAAATCTAAACATGCATTTGATATTTTTGGAAAAGCTGTTTGGCAGCTGCTCTCTGTTCTGCAACATGCAACAATTTAAAGCCATATATTTGCAGCTTCTCCGTCTAAATGAAAACACAATTAGCATCGCAGCTAATTTTCCTCCTGCGCGTTCTGCAGAGCGGCGGCGGGGCGGCGGCGAGCCAGGAGAAGCTTTGGCACAAAAAAAAATTAAGAGAAGTTCTGGAGCGAAGCCAAGAACTTTAGCAGTTGACAGACGTCTTGATACAGAAAATTTGAGAAACAATAGAGCCATTGTCCTCCGTCCTTCATGCCGATCCCCATGTATCAATTAGGGACTCTGTGAAGAGAGGTGAAGATATCCCCCTTTAGACCGACGGGATTTAAGCGTCTCTTTGTCTCCGCTCTCCGCCAGTGTTTGGCCCAAATCGAGAGGAGGCCATGTTGCTTTGTTCGGCGCATCCAGAAGCTCCCTCTGCAAATATTTGCCACCCATCGAGCGGATTAAGGCTCGATGATGTGATGACTTATTTATTTTTTTCGCTGTTTGGAATTCACACCGTGCATGTGTTCGGGTGCTTAGGCGCTGAGGAGGGAAATTGCTGATTCCAGTTACCTCGGATTTGGGTTTGAAAATGGCTGCATGAAAAAAAAAAAAACATAAAGCAGTTTGTTTTTGATCAACTTTGTTGAAAGTGTCTCAGCTTATGTCAGGCTCTTACTCTGACCTGCTGATTGAAGCTAGCATATTTAGCTTTTCTTAGCTAATTTGCAGAAACGTTGCTCCAAAATATCGCTCTGATCATCTGAAATTCATTTAAATATCTATAAATTACATAAAATGCGACTCCAGCTGTCTTGGATTTGTGTTTATTCCAACCCTCGCTGGAATGAAAATGACAATAAATGACTTTATGCCAGAAAACTGCTGTCAAAGGATGACAATTAAACTTTGCTCCAAGTGTCTCACCCTTGTTTCATTAATCACCCTTTGACCTACTAATTAAAGCCATTAAATTTAGCTTTTCGAAGCCAAGACTCGCATCATTTTTTTTGCAAAAGCACTATTTAGAATATCGCTTTGATCACATGTAGTTCTCTCTAAAGCCACAATAATTTAACTTTAAATGCAAGTTACAAACGATTGTAGTCAAACAAGAGTGGAATGTTGGTTTTAATACCTCAATGTGGATTAAAAAGTGCAGCAAAAGTGAAATTAGAGACTCCAAAAATGTGGAAAATGTTCAAACCTTAAGAATAAATTATATATTTTTTGCACTTTGGGATTTTTTTTTTTGATGTTTAAGGTGAAAATTAGTTCTCTTTTTTTATTTTTTTTTTTGATGTTTAAGGTGAAAATTAGTTCTCAAAGCTTCATGTTCTGACAGTGAAAGGCAGAAAAATGGGTAAATCTATACAAGTTTAATTTGAAAATTAAAGGTTAGAGTTGTTCGTGTCACCAAATTCCCTCAGGTAAAGTTTTAATGAATCCAAACTGGAATAATTCACTCGTACAGGTGAAGGAACCCACTGGAGCCCGACTGTGTCTCGTTCCTGTTTAATCAATCAACACTTTGACCTCCTAATTAAAGCCGATGAATTTATCTGCTCGTGGCCAAAGACTCGTTTTATTAGGAGCTAATTTGCAGAAGCGCTTGTTCAGAATAACGTCCGAAAAAATCAAATCTGTTGCAGCCGCGATATCTCCCGAGTGACAGCCGCGTGACCCAGATCTGACTGTAGACGTCGATCCAGAACTTTTCCACTCTGGCAAACCTCGCCGGCGCTGTCTGGTGTAAACGTCTCAATTAGAGAGGATCCACTGACCCGGGCTCTGTTTGATCACCTTTGGTTGGCACACCCCCTCCCTCCCCGTCCTAATTTGGCCTCCGAGGTTTGGCATGTGAAAAGGCCGTATTGTTGGAGCGGCTGGGAAGCAAGGGGGGACCGCCGGCGCTATTTCGATCCGTATACTGTAGTTTGGTGCCCTAAAACGACCCCGCGGACGCCCTCCTCCCGCAACCCGGATTGTTCCCGGCGGTAATGGACGGAGGAGAGGTGAGGGCCTCGCTAATGAGAGACATCTTAGAGGGAGCACAGAAAGCAACTGTTTGGTCTTGTCAGCGTGTTTCACATGACGGGTTCCAGGGATCAACTTCATCAAGGATCCCTGGCTGCGATGTTAAATAAGGACAAGGGGAGCGACCGGCGGCCTCAAACGGTCCATAAAGAGAAAAAAGAAATGTGTTTCTTTATGTTTGGTTTGATCGGACATGTTTAACCCTGTCAGTCCTGATTTTTTACTCACTTTGGGCTCATTTTTGGAGACACGACTAGAAGCAGAAAGAACTCGTACACTGTGCGTTTGATTTCTTTAATTATTTATCTTCCAAAAACTGGTAAAGCTTTTTTTTTTTTTAAATACCCACAGGGGTTACCAATGCTAGGAAAAGAAAAAGAATCCTCCAAATGTTATAGATGTTACAGATATTGAACTATTTAAATGTTAAATTCGCTTCCATCTGCCCTGTATAAACACTTCCTGCATTTCAATCCGGTTCAAGTCATTTACAGACTTTTGTCACGTCATCGTTGGTCACAGCTGAATCACCTGATAGCTTTTCGGTTGCGCCGAGTGCCACAGAATTTTTTTCTTTTTTGCAGAATCTGGTTTGAGCAAATGGTAAAATTTTTGCCGAATGTTTTGATGAAATATTTTAAGTTTATATTTGGCTCATTTTTCCGTACACATGATTAGTCTGACAGCCATCTGACAGGTGACAATCTGGAGAATTGTTTTTAATGTTTCCTACAGTTTCTAGCTCTGATGAATGATTTCGAAATTAGACGTCTTTTAAAGCCGGTGTTTAATTTTGGGTTCAAGAGGGTTAAAACTAACATGATTCAGGACAAACGCTTTAGAAAACACAACTAAATACCACTTTACATACTCATTTGAGAGTTTATTCAACTTAATCCCAACATGTGCAGCGCTGAACAACTTTATTAGACCACCTGTTGAATTTGTCAATCCGTACCCAGCTCTCTACGTTTCACCGTTTTGAACAGGAACAAGGAATTTCAAACTGAATTCACCTTTTTGCACCAAATCTGAGCCTCTGGGCTTCTCAGAAATCCATCAAGCAGAACATTCAACCACTAAAACTGCATTTTTCTGTTCATGAATGCAAGTAAACAACTAGAATTTGACATCTTAGTCAAGAAATAATAAATATTATTTAAGATTTTTCCATTTCTTTTGTAAAACGCTAAATCTTAAAGTTCATGGACAACAATAACAATTCTATTTTCACAATAAAAATATCATTTGGGTTAAAGAGCCTCTACATTCTGGTGTATTAACCATTACAGAGATGATTTTAGTGATTACCAATGCTGTTAATTTAGGACTTAAACCTTACACTGGGTGGTGGACATTTCTAAGACATTTATTAAGCACCGTACCTTTAATTGATTTTGACCTAAAGGTGAAGCAACTTTGGTGATGCCATTGTTGAACAAGGTGGCTCCAAAGGCAGCTGTTAAATTCACTTCTGTGTAAATATATTGCTGCAGCAGACGACTCAGTTTGA